CCACCTCCGCCACGCCCCACTGTCACAGCCTCCCGCTCTCGACCGCACCACCCTCTCCATCGATTGTGAGTCTGGCCGGCCGGCTCCAACGCCACTCCGCCGCCTCCCGCGCCTAAATCGACGCAGCCGCCGCACAACTTAGCTGGCTCCACATCCGCATGCCATGGCTGAACTCGTCGCCTTAGTTGTGAACGCCGCACATGCACCTGGCTGCCACTGCCGCATGAGCACCCAAGCTCCACGGTGACTTCGATGCCGTCGGCCTCGGCTTCACTCATACCCGGATGAATCGCCCCGTGGGATCGGCCTCGCTTGCGCACGATTCGGCTACTCCTCCGCTCCACGGATCCACCCTTCCCCACCTCTCTCCTCCGCTCCTTGGATTTACGGGAGATGACTGGGAAAGCTGCCATGGATGTTGTGTTCGATTCCAAGTGATGGACCGTATTGTGATGGGCCACGAGAAAAATAAATGAGAAAAATAAGATATATTCTTTCCAAAAAGATCCAGGCAAGTCCTAAAAAAAGAAATCCAGGCGAGGCACGTGGAGGTTTGCGTGCGTGTGGGATGAGGGAGACATATGAAGCAGACACGAACATATATGTAATCCAACCGAACTTAAACATCGACTCACATGAATAGTACCACCTCGAATGTAGAAAATAATAATATAGATGAAAAAAACTGAAAGCGTAAATTCACGGGAAGAAAGCGTATTGTGACGGTGAACCCACGGAGTCAATCCGTGCTTTATTATTAAATTAAAAAAATTAGGGATAGACCGTGCTTTATTATTAGGGATAGATATGGTTTCATCATCTCTTCTCTTGGGATCCAGTTATCCTTCCATATATGTGTAGACTGGCCGTCTCCAACCCTCCTTATACGGCCTTGCTTTAAGATATCCCTCCCCTCGATGATGGCTCTCCACACATGGCTTGAGTGACCCCCTAGCGTGGCTTGTAGTATAGATGAGTTTGGGAAGTACACTCCTTTTAGCACACGTGCAGCCAGAGAATCAGGATTTTGAAGCAGACGCCACGCCTGAGGAGCTAGCATAGCCAAATTAAAAAGCTCGAAATCTTTGAAACCTAGGCCACCCATTCCTTTTGGCTGTGTCATCGCTTTCCAAGAGACCCAGTGTGGTTTATGATGTCCGTCTTTGCTCCCCCACCAGAATTTCCGTATCAACATGTTTAGGTGTTCACATAAGCCTCTAGGAAGTTTGAAGCATGACATTGAAAAAACTGGCACTGCTTGGGCAACCGACTTCACCAAAACTTCCTTACCCGCCGAAGACATTGTCCTCTCTATCCAGCCCTGTATCTTGCTCCACAAACGATCTTTGAGGTATTTGAAAGCACCATTTTTGGAATTTCCAATGTCTGATCAACAAGTCCTTTACCTCAATTCGAGTGCTCTCTGGCACTCCCTTGCTGAAGAACACCGAAGACTTGGTTGTATTGACACGCTGCCCTGTGGCTAGACAATAAATTTCCAAAACCTGGTTGACCTTGGTAGCTTCCCCACTATTCGCCTTGATAAACAGCAGGTTGTCATCTGCAAACAAAAGGTGGTTTACTTGCGGCGCTGACGGTGCCACTTGTACCCCCCCAAGTTTGGTGACTCACTTCTTGATTTTAACATGCACGAAAGGCCCTCTGCTGCTAACAAGAACAAGTATGGAGATATCGGGTCCCCCTGTCGGATTCCTCGTGAAGGGTTGAACTCTTGAAGTTTCCTTCCATTAAACATAACTGAGAATTTTACAGAGCTTACCATACCCATGACGATGTTCACCCATGTTTCTGTGAAGCCCAACTTAAGCATTATGGCCCTCAGATATGCCCATTCAACTCTATCGTAAGCTTTCATCATATCGAGCTTCAAAGCATATGTTTGATGTTTCTTTGCCTTATTGCGCTTCATGAAGTGTAGGCACTCGTACGCAGTTATGATATTGTCAGTGATAAATCTACCTGACACAAAGGCTGACTGTTCCTGGGATATGATGTCAGGCAAGATAACCTTTAATCTGTTCAATATAACCTTTGAGGCAATTTTATAGAGCACATTACACAGGCTAATCGGGCGAAACTGTGATAACAGTGTTGGATTTTTTACCTTAGGGATTAGAACAAGCACTGTCTCATTGATACATTCAGCAGATTCTGTCCCCTCCACTATTCTCAGTACCACCTTGGTCACGTCCGCGCCACACACGTCCCAATGGCGTTGGAAGAAATGCGCCGGAAAGCCGTCAGGCCCCGGGGCCTTGATAGGGAACATCTGGAAAAGAGCCTTTTTCACTTCATCCTGGCTATACGGGGCATTGAGCATGTCATTCATTTCAGGTGTTACTTTAACTGGTACCCCCTCAGACGTGTATAAGTTTTTGTAGAACTCTATAGTCATCTCCTCCATCTCTACTACATTTTCTGTCAATTGGCCATCTGGTTTCTGCAACATTTTTATTTTATTTTTCCCCTGTCTGCGGCTTTCTCTCAGATGGAAAAAGTATGTATTTTTATCCCCGTGAACGAGCCAATCCAAATGTGCCCGCTGCCGCCACAGGATCTCCTCACGATGATAAAGTTCAATCAGTCTGTCACATACCTTGATTTCCTCACGGCTTGGGCCAGAGCGCCCATTGGCAGCGCGCAGCACCTGAAGTGCATTGTTTAATTGATGAATCTCAGACCGCACTGATCCAAAGTGTGTTCTCTATCCCATCTGGTGAGGTCGCCCGCCAACTCGCCTAGTTTTCCGCGAAGCGAATCCACAGTGTCGCCCGCCTGCTCTGCTTATCTGCTACTGACCACAGTAAAAAGATTCTCATCCCTCTCCCACATAGTCTCATATTTAAAGGATATGGCCCCACTGCTGCATGCATGCACGTCACGTAGCCGGAGCAGGATAGGCAAATGGTCCGACCCGACAGCTGTTTTGTGCTCAAGATTGGTGGCCGGGAAGTTGAGGAGCCATTCATTGTTTGCAACACATCTATCCAGGCTAACCCTTGTATAAGTTCCTCCTACTACCCTCTTCACAAAGGTCCAATTCAACCTTGTGTAACCAATATCAGAAAGGCCGCAGGTATCCAATGCATCTATGAATGTATCCATCTGGGCTTGACTCCTATTGCCTACTCCATCGTGTTCATGACCATGCAGTACCTCATTAAAATCTCCCACCACGGCCCATGGCCCACTGTGAGAACCTGCAATACCACAGAGCATATCCCAAGTTTTGTATCTCTCGGGGACCTGAGCCTCCCCATAGACAAAAGTAACCCTTGCTGGAGTTTCAGCAAGCTCATCAATCAAAGTGTCAATGTGGTACTTCGAATAGCCAACAACTTCCAATTTTATTTCGTCATTCCAAAAAATGCCAAGTCCACCACTCCTACCAGAGATACTAACTGCATAACTTTTATTGAAACCGAGTGTGTCTACTAGATTTTCTACTCTCGTACCCTCTATTTGAGTTTCTAAAATACAAAGTATAGAGGGGGCAAACCGCCTCGTTAGGTCACGAAGCACTTTAACTGTCGCGGGGTTGCCAGCCCCGCGACAGTTCCAGGATAAGATACTCATTGCGCTGGGCGCGGCACACTGAGGGGGCCCGCCAAAAGCGCATCATTGATTTTTGAAACTGTGCTCTTAACCAGAGCATTGTCAGGGGTTGCTGTACTCGGCTTGTTCCTCTTGGGTTCCTACTTCGGTGGTGGGCTATGTGGGATCTCAGGTGGTGGCAGTAGAGCTGGCATCACCCCTAAGGTCGAGGATGATGGGACGGTCCTCGAACCTTTCAGCTCAGAAGTAGCCACACCCCTCTTCCTGTTCCTGTCTGCTTCCTCCATTGTAACATCAAAAGCCCTGTTATCTCGTCCCTCGTGCTCGTCTTGCTCAGGAGAGTCGTGTTGTGAAGATCCACGCCCACGCCCCCTTCCTGATCTGCCTCTTCCGCGGCCTCCCCTGTCTCCTGAGCCTTCACCCGGGCCTCTGCCTGGTCCCCTGAACCAGGTTGCTCGGAGATCTTTGAACACAAGAGCTTTTGGAGGGTGCACCCCATCTCCACATTCCTTGAAAGTATGTCCAAGATTTCCATAGACTGCGCACCAATCTGGCAGCCTTTCATATCTCACACGGAAGATGACCCTCTCCACGGTGTCCTTCTTGCGTATCACCAGCGACACTGCGTTTTTGAGGGGCTTGGTGACATCTAGCTTGATCCTGACACAGACGATATTTCCTTCAAAATCTTGGGATTTTGGTTCAACATAGATAAAATCACCAACTGTAGCCGACAGCGCCTTGACCTTAGGGAAAAAACCGTCTGGTAGGTCATGAATCTGAAGCCAAATATCTATCTTGTTGAGCTCGATCAACGAGGGCTTCGTGAAGCCATCATAAGGTGCCATGATCACGGCTTTCCCTTTGTACTGCCATGGACCTTCCTCCATCACCCGTTCCCAGTCCCCAAGACACGAAAACTGCATTGTATAGAGATTGTCCTCAAGTGGCCTGATCTTCACCTCCCGGGCCAAGTCCCAAGCCACACACATGTTCCTATAGAACCAATACTGACTATAGGGTTTATCTGTGTGAACCCTAGCCAGCGCCATCCACCGGGTTGCCTCCCGTTGCAGTTCATCCTCTTCGATGACTACATCCCGCAGATCATCTTCTTTCAGCCCCAACTCTGCCATCAGTTCTTCCAGATCGGAAGTTGCCACCGATCCCGTTGGGGTCGTCGCCATTGATTCCTCTTGCCCGAGGGTTTCTATCCGCGGGCGGTATGGACCCTAGCAAAAACCCCACCCGTGTCGCGCCCCGAGACCCTTGCGAGCCTTGGCAGCCGGCACGGCGAGGAGGAGCAGGGGAGATGCGTTCTCTACGGGAGGGGCAACGCCCCCCCCCCCACACCAGAAGTCCAAACCCCCGGAAAATCCCCAAATCTCCGCCAACTGCCAGCGAGGAGGAAGGCGGCGGCAGCGATGGCGGGGACGATCTCCCGCATCTGGCTGGAGAACTTCATGTGCCACTCTAGCCTCGACATCGAGCTCGGCCAGCACGTCAACTTCATCATCGGCCAGAACGGCAGTACGCCTCCGCTCAAACCCTAGCCCCCCTCCCCCCATTCCCCAATCCCCCTCTCACCAATGCGCCTTTTCTTCTTCGTGCCGGCGCAGGCGGGAAGAGCGCGATCTTGACGGCTCTCTGCATCGCCTTCGGCTGCCGCGCCAAGAACACGCAGCGTGCCGCCACGCTCAAAGATTTCATCAAGACTGGCTGCAGGTCGCGTCCGCCTTCTGTACCCGCTCACATCTTTTATTTTATTTTCTGCAAATAACTGTCGATTGCTGAGTCATTGTCCAAAAAGAAAAGATTTTGCTTCGAGGATAGCTTTTCGTTGGGAATAGCTGCTGTGTGGTGCAAATTCCTCTCGTTTTGCAAAACATTTAGAGCTTGTTAGTTTAATTCCTTACCCAAGGGGGCTGGAGAGGTTTGAAGGGGATTGGGGAGGAATTTGACTTACAGGGGATTTAATCCCTCACAATCCCCTTTAATCCCCCTTAATAAACCCAATGCAACTGAACAAGGCCCTAGGAATATTGAAGGCTAGGCAATCTCTTCGGTTGGGTCTAATCCCTGTCGATCCTAACAAGCAGTGCAATGCTGCTACCTGCTACTAGTATTCAGGTGATTTTATATGAAAATATTTGTTGAACATATGAACAACATGCATTGCTGTACTACCACACACCAAGTTACCTGTCCGTACCCTTGCCACTGCACATGACGCTAACAATCGTCAAAATTTCTTACCTGAAAATCTGCCGGGGTCATTTTTAGACCATGCCACAGTTGTATGCTTCAGAGAAAAGAACAGAGATCACATGATTTATCAGAAAACTTAAAGACCGGTCTTGTTCTATCGTATTATAATTGATGTATTTTTCAAACAGGGCACAAACTGTCACACACCAAATTGTTAATACTAACAAAGTGAGTTGTACTCTGCACTAGGCAGATTGCCAATAATTTCACTTTGCAGCATGTGCCATACGGACACATGTTTGAAAAGACCCATAAAAGTTCATACATGTGTATTATGGTATGAAATGTGTACCTATAGTTTTGGTTAGAAAAACACAATTTTGGTTCAAAATTTCATACATGTTCAGAAAATCTAGACCGCGTTCTATTTGCTCGGATCACATAGTATTCTTTTAACAGAAAATATGTAGGTATACATTCTGCCCTATAATAAACATGTAGCATAATTACTCAGTTTATCGTGAAGATTTTGATGGAAATATCCAACAGATAGCCTGCCTATTAAAAGCAGACAGTCTCCGGGGTTAGACCTTTGCAAATTGGTGAAATAGCGGCTGAATCTGCTTGTTCACCAAAGAACTGCCCTTGGTCGAATAAAATTATATTAAACAATTCCAAATGGTCAACCACCGGCTGAGTGACTGAACAATAAATCAGAATGTTGGCTGGGTAAATGACTGTACAGGTTCCAGTAGTTATCATCTTATAGATGATTGTGGAGCTGATGTCTGCATCGATCACACGTAATATGTTTCTACTGTACAACCTCTGGTTAATGGTTTTGCATTTATCCTCCGACTGTCATATCTCTCTTCCTGTGATCGATTGAAAAATAGTTTATTCTTTAAATCACAGCGATGCAGCAATTTCTGTTGACATCAACAACCAAGGGGAAGACGCGTTCAAGCCTGACGTATATGGAAACTTAATTAAATTGCAGCGCAGGATTACCAAGTCATCTAGTTCTACTATCTTAAAAGATCAACATGGTACTCATACTTGATCCTTCTTCCTCCCAGTTGTTGGTTGTGCCCGTCTATTGTAAGCATTTCTCCTGCAAAGTTGTTTAGATCTCTTTTAGCTGTCATATTAGTACTTTAGGTTTCCATTCTCACTTTGTCAACTTGTATTGTTTTAAGGGTAATCGTATTTTTCTGTGACCCTTCAGAGTTCTCACGTAGTTGTATTTTGCTATTCAGAGATGATACATTTCTGAACTTAGGATTGTTGCATTTCTTATTTGATTATCCATTCTTGTGTCCTGGCTGCATATCTTTATTCTATTTAATGGCTATTTCAAGTTTTAATGTTAAATTATCACATCTTTCCCATCCTTGGTTCTATCAACTTTTCATGTTGGCAAAAGACCTATATGTTCATTGTGCTTGACTTATACTGTACATGTTTGCATGGCCGCAGAAAATCTCCGGTCCTTTTTAGTTCGCATATAAGATTTGACTGAAGTCAAGCCTCGTAAAGTTTGACCAACTTTATAGAAAAAAGTATCAACATTCACAATCTGAAATCAATACCAATAGATGTGGCATGACTTAAAGTTTCATATTGTATAACTTTAGCATGGCAGATGTTGATATTTTTTCATATAAATACGGTCAAACTTTGTGAAGTTTGACTTCAGAGAATTCTAATATGCAGAGTAAAAAGGACCGGAAGGAGTACCATTCTGTGGAAGTACCTTGTTAGAATGTAATGAATGTGTTATATTTCCACATCCTGATGCGTACACAACTTTTCAGATTGATGTTGAAAATCCTTGTGTAATTATGAGTCAAGACAAAAGTAGAGAATTTCTGCACTCAGGAAATGACAAGGATAAGTTTAAGGTAATCAATTTACCATTATACCAATAAGTGTGCTTTCCCTAATTTATTTGATGTGTTGGAATATCTATGGTTTGACGAACGTAAATCGAATTGTATAGTCGTACTCCGCAGGGTTTCCATGGTATTTTATTCGCTTTTAGATGTACTCGACCATGAAGCACGCCTTCAGTTAGTCAGTTTGTATAATACCATGATTGCATTTTCATTTGCCTCTCGACATCTTTCTAGTTGTGCAGGTAACCAATTAGCATTTTATATATTCCAATCAATCATCATTTTATGAGAACACGACACTCTATGTATTCAATGCCAGACCAGATATATTTTGGTAGCTTACGACTTCATATGAGTGTATGACCCGTGAACTGAACTGCTATTTGACGCAATGTTGTTTCTGAGTTGAGCTCATAATTCTGCCTTATACCTGTGCTTGCTATATCCCTTCTCTGATATAACTCTGAGCATTATTCCTTTTCTTTCACTGTCCATACATTATGTCTTGTTGCAGTTCTTCTTCAAGGCTACTCTTCTTCAACGACTCAAAGAGTTGCTTGAGACAATAAGAGATCAGGTGCACAAGGCAGACTCTGATGTTCAAGAACTGGAGAAGTCAATTAAGCCAGTGATGAGAGAACTTGATGAATTACGAGAGAAGATAAAGAATATGGAACACATAGAAGAGATAGCACATGAAATTGATAATTTGAAGAAAAAGTTAGCCTGGTCATGGGTTTATGAAGTTGACCAGCAAATTGAGGAACAAACAGTGAAACTCCAGAAACTCAAAGGGCGAGCTCCTGCGTGCCAAGAAAGAATTGACCGAAATACAGTAAGTTGTGTCCTTTTTACTGGGAACCCATTGTGCCATTGTATCCTCTAGAATAACCGGTGTGTTTTTACTGTAATTTCTTTGGTAAACCAAAATAAATTCATGCAAGCTTGCTGGCACATACATCTATTGCCAATTTGAATGTCATCTGTTTGACTAGGGCCAATTTCAAGTCATATTTAATGGAGTGAACTAGAGCAATAGTGTGCCAAAACCATCCTGTATAGTTATGTTTGAAAATACATATTCTAAAATAGTAGTCATATTTAATGGAGCTTATTGTTATGTCTGAATTATTTTTTAACCTTTTAGGTTGTTATTGATAAACTGAAGAAAGAACTAATTGAAAAGGAAGAAAATCTCAGATCTTTGGTGGGTAAGACTCGTGAAGAGAACAACATGAAGAAAAGTATGGAAAATAACATTGCTGAGGTATGTGAGTAGATGATGTAGCATCCGGTATGTTCAGAAAAAGCAGCTGTATTTGGACCAATAGGTGGTAGAGCCACATACAGCTCTGTTGTCTTTGTACATGGAAGTAAAAAAGTGATGGTCATGATAAATGTAGCAAGTTATGACCGTCAAGTCTTTGCAATCCTTCTGGTTGTCATATCTTTGTGTCTTCAGTCCTTATTAAGCCTATAAGCTCTGATGTTGGTCATTATTGCAGAACTAAATCTGCAGTAATTTCTGGCTCAGTGATATGTTCATAACATTTGCCTCGAAATATTGCCACTCATCATGAAGTGTTGAGATTCCTATTGTTGGCAGCTTAATTTTTCCTAGTAATACTTCTTTTTGAAATTTAAGGATTATATGTTTGGTAATCTTGTTTGAATATAACGCGTGCATGTAAATTCAGTCATTTTCTCTCCTTTCTGAGTAAACACCGGCACTAACTGATTCCTTATTTTGAAGACATTGACACCATGGGCATCTATCTGCTATGGACATGATTGTGCAATTATTTAACTTGTCTTTCTTAACAATTCTTCATGTTTTGTTTACAGGCTGTGAAGCGGGAGATAGAACTAGAGGCGGAGCATGAGCGTGGTGCACACATGCTGCAGAGAAAGAATGGCCGCCTGAATCAATTGCAGGCACAACTTCGTGATTTCCAAATGCAGCATATGCAATCTACTCAAGTGAGCTGTTATCTAAAACCCATAAAAACTAAATTCACCTTACAAGTATGAAGTTAATAGATAGTGTTACTCCCTCTATCCGGATATATAGGGCCTTATACGTATTTCGAGATTTACTCTGACCATTGTTTAGACCAATAGTATATGATATGTGTTACAAAGAGTATATTGTCGAACTCGTATTTGGAAGGAGTTTCCAGTAATATAATTTTTATACCATACATCTAATACAGTATTAATCTTACTGATGGTCAAAGTAAATCTTGAAATGCGTATTAGGCCCTATACATCCAGATGGAGGGAGTATGAAACATTGAGTCTGGCTATCACAGCAGCCTGCATGAATTGGTGAAGCTAAAGTACACTGCAATTCACAACAGCCTGCATGTCAGGCTAATATTAGCTAGTACAGGCTGCTGTAGCTACAGCATGGCTCTAAGGGCAGTCCCAGTGCACTATATCTTAAGCTATATCTGATGACATTAAATAGATGTTTACATATAGGAGTCTCAGTGCACTATATCTTACTGTTGTATATAAAACAACCCTCATTTAGTGTCTTTTCTGAGAGAAAAGTTATGAGATGTTTTGGATTTGGTGCTAAGATATATATCCAGATTAAGATGTGGTTGCTCCCTATTTCCTCATTAAATAGTGTCACATCAGATATTTACCAATGAAACTTTGTGAAGATACAAGCATTGGGAGTGCCCTAAAAAGTGCACAGCACATCACAGGCTGGAGCAGCGAAGGAGTGAGCTGCAATCTGGACCCACAACAGCTAGCACGGAGCAGGGGAGCCAGAACAATGGGAGAACATGGCTCTTAGGGCGTCTTTCTGATGTACATACGTGTCAGTGCTATGGTGCCCGGGATTGTAAGGCGTAGCCCTCGCCTTAGATATTTAGCACAGGACTACCATAGAGAAGTTCCTTGGCTTTCGCGTGCGCTGCCTCTGCAGCGCGCTCCCTCCTGCGGTCCACCTGCCGGCCGCCTGTTACGCTCTCTCCTGCGGGTGTTCGCTGACGTTTCCTTCTGTGCTGCCGTTGCCGCCGCTGCTTTCCAAGGCCGAAGCTGTCCGCTGCTCCCCAAAGCTCTGGCCTTCGCCCCTTCTGCTGCTTGCCCGCTGCCCTGCACATGGCTCTCCCTACTTCTGCTACTAGCACTGCTTTGCTGCTGCGTTTGCTCGTGCCGCTGCTTCTGCCCAGTGTGGCTCCCTCTGTCTGCTGCCCCACGCGCAGCTCTCCCTACAGCTGCAGCTAGCATACTTGCCTGCTGCTGCTAGGGTACTACTGCAGCCGCTGGTGTACTACTTCAGCTGGCTCCTATGTGTGCATTAGATTCCTGTAGCAAAAAAAAAGTCGTCCGGCATCTGTTTTCCCTCGTGGATGTTCTGTGATTCTTGACGGTGGTCTTTTCGTCGACTCCGTCTCGCACATGCACCTGTATTGGTGTTGCGTGCTATTTCACTAGTTGCTATTAATTGCTGCTCCTCGCCGGCATCTCACCTGCACGGCCTCATCCGCAGCCTCCCACGCATCCATGATGGCTCTTGCATCTTCATCTCTTGTGTGCTTCCTAGCTTCTAGGTATATATTTTCTGCTGCGTCCACTAAATCAGTTGCTATTTCATATTTGTTATGTCATGCTTGTCCACCAAATCTTGATCCGTGAGCCTTCCTTTTTTGGTCCTGGTCCTTCCTATACAACTTTTGTGGCCTTTTCTAGTCCTTGTTGTTTTCTATAGGATTTTGGTGTCCTCTTTTTGCGTTGTCAATTTACACCCATTCTCTTGCCGCCGAGCTTCTTTCGCCGCGGGTTTTCATGGGCTATGATTTTGTGCGCAATGCTTTATTCTCTTGTGTGCCATTGATAACCCATCTTCTCTTCTTACTTATCCTGTATGTTCTACTGATGCGGTGTCTTCCTTCGATGCACCATCTTCTCTTTATCCCCTTTGACTTGACTTGACAGGTTCTGAAGGCTCTCCATGCCACAATGACACTCTCAAGATGCAGATTCTTAATTATCATTTCTTTTGTAGTGTTACACTTCTTCAAATTCATTGCTATAGAGCATTTGAGGGAGAGTGTTAAGGAGTAGTCGTATTGTTCTAGGAGTCCGTATTAGGCTATGTTTTCTTCCTTGTACCCCAAGTCTTGTGTAATTCCCCTTGGGCTATGCAATAGATATAAGTTGCATCCATAACCCCTCAGAAAAATCTTAGTAGTATCATAAACTAGTTTGTTTTCAACAAGGGAGCATCAGTCCTGTTAACTGGACTAATCACGTTTTTGGTTTTCACATGAGCTAACAATTACCACATTGTACCTGTTCCTCAGGAGAAGTTTGGCTATCTCCTAAAAATGAAATAATCGGTGAACCTTGATATCGGTTGTTCCAAAAGACATTTGCTTGATAGAATGCCTCTTGATTTTTTCTGGATTTCCTTGGCTTTGCATGTTTGATTTAGCTATTCTGTCTGAATCATGTCTTTATCCATCTGTAGGCTGAGGATTCTCAAATGGAGAAAGATGTGAAGAACATACAACAACAGATTGATTATCTTCATTCAAATGTTACAAGGTCATTCAATTGTACTTCTTACTTTGCTTAATCACATCCAAGTAAAACTTCTTGGTTGTTTGATGCCACCTTGTGTGCCATTCAGGTTAAGAGAGGATGAAAAAGAATTCACAGAAGAATTATCAGGCATCCAAAAATCTACCAATGAAATATCAAAAGAGGTATCTTAAACTTAATGTGCTACCAGAAATACCGCTTTCCTGCATAATGAACTTTAAACTCTAAACACAGTAAAAGTGATAATGTTACTCCGTCCACTCCAATCGCAAATAAGCCACATTTTGAGCCAGAAACATTGATAAAGAAAGTTCCCTAACCCATAAATGTGAATTGTATTTTTAGTTTTATATTAGAAGTATTTCTTGAGGAATCTACTTGTGCCATTTTCCTATGGCCTAAATGTTCATCGTGATATTGTTCTGCCAGTTTGGAAAATAGTTAATCAGCAGTAACTTATTTTTAACTGGAGGAATTGTTTCCATATCTATTATTTACTGTAATTATATTATCTTTTGTATTGTATAGTTACTTAGTGGCACCCATTCCCTCTATTGATGTATGAATGTGGGTATATATGTTTCAGATAATGTAATTATGTATAATGTTATTCTTAGAGAATATGTGTTCTGGATAATGTTATTCTCAGACAATATCTATCTTTTTTGCTGGTTCCCATATGTTTTTATTTCTTTCTGTTCCCTATTAATGCTTATAATGTGGAAAAAAGAGAGGCAGAATGTGATCATGCACAGTAATAATTAGGCTTAAATAAACATTTTCATGCACATGTCAATGCTGAATAGATTTTATTTCAATTTCCAAATAGGTTTGCACATGACACATGACACACAATTTATGATAGAAAACCATGTACATGCTATGCCCCTTGCTCATAGTTGACACTATTAACCCTGTCTGTTTATCACATTTCTCCCTTTTGTTGAACTTTAAGAACTGCTATCATAGCTCTACTTGTTCAAAAAGATATTTTAAGTGAGGCTGGAACTGCATAGTTAGGGGCAAAATACATCTGGGTCTAAGTTTGATTGCCTGTTTAAATACGTTCTCCTCGCATGATTTCAAGCTCAGAATAATCTTTGGCACAGTATTAGGTACCTTTGAAGAAGTGTTCGCCCAACATTTATCTAAAAAGCATCACTTATAATTATCCACACTATTTGAATTCACAAGTCTTCTGTACTTTCTTGTGAAGTTGGCCACCTTTTTTCTGCACTGAAACATGTGGGTCATGTATCATTTATGCCATTAACTTTTATTTCACAGATAGCTGAAAATGATAGAAGGATAAAACAAGTAAAATCTGACATTGGAGACCTTCAACTACAGCAAAGTAATAAGGTATATTCTCTCTTTACAGTGACCAGTAAGCAGTAGATGCCCTTTTCTTAATGATCATAACCCTGCTTCTCAGGATGTAATTGATTTTAGTAGCAACTGGCAACTGCTCTCTAAAATCTTTTTTTATATACAATTAATGCTTCATCTTAGGTAACGGCATTTGGGGGACGAAGAGTTCTGAAACTCTTGGAATCAATAGAGAAAAACCACAAAAGATTCAAACGCCCACCTATTGGTCCGATAGGGGCTCATCTGGTATGAAAATACCAATTATCATGATTCTTGTCTTGAATATGTACTAATAATACCATGTGAAGTAACTTGATGCAAATGATAATTTGATATATCACTTAGCACATGTTCTGATCTGCTGTATTCAGCAGTAAACTTCATTAATCCACATTGCTTATATTATTATACTGTATTGTTTTATTATTTATAGCATGTCCCTTTAGTTTTCTCATCTTTTATCTGTTTATTTATCCACGGCTTAATAGGTGGCAGCCTAACTAGTGTTCCTAGCTACAGGTCAATGTTGTGATGTTGAGTTCCCTTAGTGCAGCTGCATTGGTTCTTACAA